AATAATGGTGAAAGTGTCTCTCAACTAGAATATTCTAGGGTCATTAGAAGTTTGATGTATCTGATGAGTTATACAAGGCCGGATATAGCCTACTTTGTCAGCAAGCTTCGTAGATACACGAGTAATCCAAATGCCACTCATTGAAAAGGCATTATGCGGGTGTTAGGTTATTTATGCTACACCCGGGATTATGGGCTACATTGTACCAGATACCCAGTGGTACTAGAAGGATATAATGACGCTAACTGGATATCTGATATAAAAGACTCCAAATCCACTAGTGTTTATGTGTTTACCCTTAGAGGGGCAGCCGTGTCTTGGAAATCTTCCAAGCAAACGTGTATATCGAGATTAACGATGGAATCTGAGTTTATTGCGTTGGATAAAGCAATTGAAGAAGCTGAATGGCTTTGCTAGTTCGTTGAGGATATTCCATGTTGGTCGAAACCTGTACCTGCTATCTGTATTCATTATGATAGCCAATCGGCGATTGGACGAGCACAGAGTCATATGTATGATGGAAAGTTTAGACATATCCGTCGTAGACATAATTTCATACGACAACTACTCTCTAATGGAATTGTCTCTCTAGACTATGTAAAGTCTAAGGACAACACTGCAAATCTGCTAACCAAAGGGTTAACTCGAGAAGTAGTAGAAACGTCGTCAAGAGGAATAGGGTTAACGCCTTTAGTAATGTTACCGGAACGGAAAACCTAATCTAGTTGATTGAAGATCCTAAGATCTAGGTTCAAAAGGACAACCTAATTTCGTGTAATGTGTGAGTCACTAAAGAGGTAAATCCTCTTGTGCATTCCTTTGTACAGTGATACCCGATGGGGGTAGAAGGTTAAGCTAATGCTTTTAATGACCTAAGTGATGTGATAGTCAACCGTGGTATAATGAGATACCTTATATAGGTCACCTATGTAAGTGCGAAGTGGGGCCGCTTCTTTAAGAATTGGTAAGGCCGAATTCTTTGAAACCACTCACTGAACTAGGCTAGTGATCCAGGGCCATACCGAACACACAAGTGAGAACAAAAACAATGGTTGGACTAACTCCTGTGTACAGTCTATTGTCTCAGCTTACACAAACAGCAAAACAGTTCAAGACATCACATTCACTGGTCAACTAGTACATCCGATAGGCTATCACTACGAAAGGTTCAAGGCCAACAACTACCTTTTCTGATGCAGGGTTAGTCTGTGTGCTCTCTCTCTGAGGCTTTGTTGTAAACATTGTCCGTTTTTCTCATTCGGTCAATTTTTATTCATGTGAGGGATTGTTGGAAAAAATGGATTTTGGGAAACTTTAATGTGAAATTAAAGTAGGTCATAATCATTGGTTGAGGTGGGATTAAATGGGTTTAAATTCTTTGTAACAAGCTCTTTACACCAAATAAAGAATGACCAATAACCATTGAGAATTGAATGAGAAATTGTCTCATAAAGATGGTCTCATGAATGAGGTTTTGGAAATTGTGTATAACTACCAATCCCACATTGATTGTGAAGGAAAACTTTGATGGGTATTTCAGCCTCAAGATTATGAGAAGGGCATGAGCCCTTTGGGGCATCCAAATTTTCCGAAGGAAGAGAGGCATGGATGCTTCAAGGATGGGCTTGGGCCAAGACTATGGTCCAAGTTGGTTATGGCCAAATTGCCACACAAGTGCACGCGCGCGCGCCCGGACCGGGTCTGTGATCCATGGGTCGTGGACCTTGGGCTTGGGCTTGAGGCTTGCTGGAACGGGTTAGATTTAGGCTGGGCCGGATTGGTGGTCCGCCAACTTATTCTTTTGGGGCAAAGTCTATTGCAGGCCCAAGTCTGTTGCAGAAATGTATATACACATATGTGTATATTGTGTGTAACTCACACTTTGAATTCCGATCAGTTTTGTGCATTACTCCAGCAGTTTTCCAGGAGTACTGGCCTCCATTAGTGGTTAGCCTTGATGGCTTGAGACTCCTCCTTTCTCCCCCATTTGTGTATAAGAAGAGACCCATCTCCCTTTGGTTTTGTACACAAGTTTTTGCTTTCCAGTCATATAGTCAGTTTGCTTACTAGTATAATATTCTTCCTATGTGAGAGAGAGTGCTACCATTGTCGGTTCACCAAGCTAACAAAAGGTACTTCTACATTAGCCAGTTTAAGTCATCTTATCCTGGGAGACAGAAGTCGACGTTCCTCCAGCACCCACGGTGAGACGGCTAATCTGTTTTAAGAACACTATGGTACCATACAGAATTTGGTTTGATTTATTGTTTTCATATTTTGATTAAATATGTTTTTCTATTTATCTTGTTTAATTGTACAATAGGATAACAGTTATTCATTATATGTATGCTGTTAGTGTTGTATATATGTTTTTTATATTTTAAATAGAAAAAAATTAGTAACAATTCATTTATAATAAGTTCTTATTAGCTTCACTCTATAGCCTACTTTGAGAAGGCACACTTTTTTTTAAAAGGTTAAAAAATTATTACAAAAAAGTTAATTATTCTCTTTATTTTTTGCATGTATTTTTATAAAAAAATTTAAAAATCACTAAAAAATTCAATTCCCACAATAACCCTATGTAAAAATAAGACAAATGCTAACAGGTGCTCTGGGGACACTTGTTAAGACCATCTCCAACATTGCATCAGATGTTTCATCAAATTCAAATTTGATGAAAAACGAAAAAAATGTCAGCTCTAGCGTTGTCATCAAACTAATATCAGATGGAGGGAGTGTAGACACCTTATTTTGACTGACGATTAAGACTTAGGCACTTGAAATACTTCCTGATGATGAAAGATATCATAATTTCAACTTTGGAGATGTCTAAAATTGTTAGAGTTGTTGTATTTCCACTTTCGTGCCAAAAACTATTTTTTGCCAAAATTATAGTTTGTTGATTCGTATTGACAGCCTGTTTTCACCTAGAAAAAGTTAGAATTTAAAATTTTATATTTCACACAAAATTGTAAATATTTTAATGATATTTCCAATGTCACTTGATTCGCCTCAATCCGATATCAGATAAGAAAGTTATGACCAAAATACAAAAGCCTATCAAGGACATGCGGTCGCACATGCCGTCGCACATGCCGTGTGTGGCTGCCCTTTCATTCGATAGATGTAGATTTTTGTTTTTCTTGGGAAATATTGAGAATTAAGAAGGGAGCGCCACAAGTTAGCGATGAGGAAGCCCTAGGGGGGTCTTTCTTGATCCCCAAGGCTCTTTTTTGCCTACAAATATACCCCATGTCCTCCCTTTGAACTTTTTGAGCAAAACTGTGAGTTTTTGAGTGAAATTTCTTGCCTTCTCTTCTTTCAAACCCTAACCTCCAAAAATATACCCTCCCAGAGCAGCTCAAACAACTAAAAAATATCTAAAACTTGAAGAATTTGAACATAATCAGAACCTAAGCCTGAGGGAATCAATCAAGCAAGTTTTTACATTTTTTCTTTGTGTTTTTTTCGGTTTATTGCAAACCAGCAAGTAAGCTCTCTTTTCTTTCAATTTTCAATAGCTTGTACTTTATTTTTCATCATTTAATCATGGTTAGGATGATAGGTTGCATGCGTAGTTATCTAGGTTAGTTATTTCATTAGTTTTTTGCTTTATTTCGCATGTTTTTATTTAGTTTATCAAGACAACATATTTAGACTAGATTAATCATGTAATATTCATGAATATAGCCCAATTAATCATTATATAATATTTACCATATTTAGCTTTATGTGTTAGTTGCTTTGTTTGCATTAAATCATGTTAGTAGCCATTAAACCAGGCTTAGGTTTGTATTGTGTGTTTAGTTGCATGTTTAGACTCACGTGTATTTTATTTAATCATACTTTGCATGGTAAGACGCTTCAAGTGAGCATTCGGGTAAGTCTTTTTGTCCTTTATAGCATGTATGCTTGTTTGGTTGCCTTACTTTTCCATAATTCAAGTTTATGTGCTATTTTTTTTTTTTATGCAAAATTATTTATTTTGAATGCTTTATAAATATTGTTAATTTTTAGTTAAGTTTATAGCCATGAATCATAAAATCAATTTTTGTTGGAAAGATCATTATTTTTAAAAAAGATGACTTTATTCTTTAATAAAAAATAAATGATGTTTATCTTTTGTTCAAATCATCTAGTTGGTTAGTGTTAGTAAATGATTAGGGTTAAGAATGAATGGTCATAAAATAAAAGGTTAGTTGTAACACTTGTATGTTTTAATCTATTGGAGTTGTATCTTGATTTTGGAGGAATACAATTTGATTTAGCCTTGTTGGGAACTTAGAAATTCTATTTTGGTGTCGACACCATGGGTTCCTGGGGTCAACACCACCTTGTTGCCCTATTCTTGGTGCCTTTACTGGTTTTTAGAGTCGGCACCACTGGTTCCAAGGGTCGACCCTTGTGTGCTATTAAATTTGGAATTAGCTGCTGAAATTTAGGGTCGATACCAAGAGTTCCAAGGGTCGACCCATGTCTGCAGCAAACATTAGTGTCTCAGCTTTTCTTCTTAAGGGTCGACACCACTGTCTTAAGAGTCGACCACTGCGTGTTATTTCCAGAATTTTGGGTTCGACTAGGCCCTAATTTTGGGGGGTTTTGGACTTATTCTTTTCAATGATCTTATGGCTAATTTTCTACTACTATAAATGGATCCAAAACACTTCTGTCTCATTATTTTCTTCTCTTTTTTCCTCTTAAATCGTGAGTCTCTCTTCTTTCTCTCTAAACTCAACTTTTTTCCACTTGGATTTTTAGATCTATTCACCTAGAAGCATCTTCTCACCTGGGTCCTTTGAGAAAGGTTGTAGATCGTGTCAAGGGTTTTCTTTTGATCCAAGAGCTTCGAGGCTTCATTAACTTTGGGCTTCTCTGAGTTTTCTTTTCACTTTTTTGAGGTAAGGATACTTTTACCCTAGTAGTTCCTTATTATGAAGAGATTTCATGGTGTTGTTGTGACTTATGAACTAATTTGAGGATATTGCTGGATTAAACCTATGTTGTTACTAGAAATTGGTAAGGCTTGTTTTAGCTGCAGCCATGTAGATTTCCCAAATCCAAAGATCTATACAACCAGGGAAGGAAAAAAAATGAAAAAAAAGGAAAGGTGGTTGAGAAGAAAGAAAAGAAATCAGAGGCTATGAATTTAGAACCAAAACATTTATCTCACAAGATTTCTCTGATTTTGGGATATTTACCAGTGGCTCTAAGTCAAAATTCAGGAAAATATTGCATGGCCGCAAGTCACCATGAACAATAGGGCCCCGAGGACATCCTTCGTGCATGTATCGAATACCTTGACCAATTCCTATTGCTATCTTTATTTTTTCTTGAAATGTCAATTTGACCTGCTTTCCCTTTGATCCTGCTCCAGAAAAGACAAATGAATACACATAGCACCTTTCTTTCATGTTGGAAGGCTTTATTTATTAGGATACGACATGATCTAGGTGAAAAAGATGAAAACAACTTACCATGGATAAATCTGTCCAGTATCCATCTTCTGGTAAAAGGATAGACAACTACTGTAGCACTTTCACTCTTGTGCTAACCAATCAACCCCTGTATATTTTTGTGATGCAGAGTCCAGGCTGCTTTCTTTTCAGCTTCGACATTGTAGTTGTTAATGTAAATGTAAATTACTACTACACCTACCACCAAACCTACCTCCACCTACTACTCCTATCACCTACTACACTCCACCAAACCTACCTCCACCACTCACTCCTCACCTACTCCAGAATCATCTCCTATATAATAGGAATTCTTGTACAAAATATATACACAACAATCTTGTAATAAATCAATCAATAATACATCAGTTTATTAACATGGTATCAGAGCAAGGTTAACAACCTAGTTATTCTGCTTCACTCTGATACAAACCTCCAAAGCACATAGAAGATTCATTCAATCAGTTAAAAGTGCATCATTTCAACCACCTCCTAACACCACCACTAGTTGAAGGTGAAGAACCCTCATCACCAAAGCACATATTAGGCCTCTGCACCATCCCAAACTGTTCTCTGTAAATGCTCTTCCAACTTGGACTCCTCAAGTTATTACACTCAAATGAAACATCACTATCACTAGTCCCAACTCCATTGGTGTATGCCTCTCCTGGAACAGGGAACGAAAGGCGTTTCTTCGCCGAACTCAGTTTCTCTCTCTCTGGTGTCAATGCTCTCTGCCTCGGCGCACTCTGCGATCGAATCCGAGCCTTGGCAGACACAGTTGCAGCCATGTAATTAGGCACAGAGCGCAACGCCCGCCGGAACCCAACCATGCTTATGCTTCATCAATTTTTCCCCCGATCAATCCGCATCTTCTCATCATGCTCGTCACCAGCTTATCCATCGACGAACCCGTTGCCACATGCCGCTTCGGATCTCTACCACACATGGCAGTTTATGATCCATGCATGAGCTTGACTCCAACTAGACAACCACTAGTTCTCTCTCTCTCGGGGGCAAAACCCAGCTTGCTCACAGCCCATGGCTGTCACTCCAGGCGCCGTCGTTGTCACCGGCGACCAACACCACCTGCAGCCTCATCTCCGAAGCTCTCTCTCTACTCCACAACCGAGCCACCATTACAGCTTTCATGTTCTTCTTAGGCCGAACCTTCAACCAATCCAACACCCCAAACCGTGGTCCCTCTCTCTCTCTGATACATATATTCTATTTCTAAACCCATGGAGGGTGGAACAACCTGTAAAAGCTTATCCATATACTTCTCTCTCTCTTCATCCAACCCACCAACTTAGCCGCTTTTTGTCCCCCCACCATAATTGTTTCCACCACCCACCTTTCTTTTTATTTTCTTTTTATATCTATATATATTTTTTTATTCTCACCAACACGGATACCAATCTTCCTTTCTTTTCTTTTTTTTTTAATCACACCCATCCACCGCCCAAACTTTATTTTTTTTTTTTATTATAAAGCTTAATTGGTACTCTCGACTGTTCCCCACTCCCTCCTTTATTATTTTTATTCCTCATTATATATTCATCATCACCATACTTATCCTTTCATCACCGTCACCATATATTTTTTTTTTTTAATTCGATTCCCTTACTTTTCACACCCAAAAAAAATAAAAATAAATAAATCCATTCACCCCAACTCGGTTTTCATTCCACACACTTGTCATTTCATCATGCCGGGGATCAACCCCGATCACAATTTTACACCAAATAAAAAAAACCTTAATATATTATTATTATTATTATAAAAAAAAAAAAAAAAAAAAAAAAATTCAAACACATAACCGCATCCACAGGTGGGATTTTTCTTCTCTACTCTGCCACCAGTCTCTTCTTTTTGCCTCCGTCCTGAGCGGCCCTTGACGGTGTTGCCTCCGTGTTTCCCACGCCGCCGAGCACGTTCACTCCTCCCTGCTCCTCCACTGCAGCATATGGCGGACCTCCAAATCGGAACATCACGGTGGCCTTCCGCTTCAGCTCCTTGTTTTCTGCCTTTAGCACACTTATCTCTGCTCGCGCATCCTTATACATGCACTGGAGCAGAGCCAGTTGGGCGTTTAACTGCTGCACCTCATTTGTCCTACTCTGCAGCCGGTGCGACAAGTTTGTGACCGCAGTCATGGTTTCCACGCATGACTTCAAAGTATCCTGATTGGCCTCAATATCAGTTTGCACCGCCATTTTTTGCTCCACAGACCGCATCGGAAAGTTCAACGGAGCAAAACCAGAGGTGTTTGGTTGAGGTTCACTGGCCACCGCACTGGTTATCTCTCTTGTTGACTCGTTGAGGTCGGGAAAAAGAGTGAGTAGACCACGGGACGAAGAGGCCATATTCTGGGTAGCTGAACGGGAAGAAGAGGCCATTGTTCAGATGTTTCAGAATGCAAATATTCAGATATTTCAGAATGAAAATGTTCAGCGGTTTCAGACTGGTTTGCACAGCCTCCACCTCAACCTTGGTTTAAATAGCCAGGGCCAATCCGCGCATCGCACGCCACTTGATGCCAGACGACAAAACGGACGCGCAGGCCAAGGTAATCACGCGCCTCGCCATCATGTCCGGCACACCTTTTTATGGATTGGGCACACCTTTTGATGGCACACCTTTTGAAAGATTGGGCACACCTTTTGAGGGTGCAACTTTTTACAACAGTCTGACACGACCACACAGTGTCTGCTACATCGGTCCGACATGACCTCGTCAACTGTCCTGCTACAACGGTCCGACATGACCCCATAAACTGTCTTCTACAACAACGGTCTAACACGACCACACAGTGTCTGCTACATCGGTCCGGCATGACCTCGTAAACTGTCCTGCTACATCAGTCCGGCATGACCTCGTAAACTGTCCTGCTACAACGGTCCGACATGACCCCATAAAGTGCCTCCTACAACGGTCTGACACGACCATACCGTGTCTCCTATCTTGTTTTATTTTATTTATCAGTTTATTTTCCTGTTTTGTTCCTCTCTCCAAACTCAAGTTGGTTGGTTCCTATCCTCCTTGAGTTTGAGGGTTGTGATGCAGAGTCAAGGCTGCTTTCTTTTCAGCTTCGACATTGTAGTCAAATTGTCTGGTGAATCTTTTAACCAGAACTCTGCAGTGATGATCACTTAAATACCCACAATATGACTTGCAACTGTCATTCTCATCCACGCAAGTCATTCTTGTGAACCCACCTGTTATTTCTTCAACCTCAGCCCAGCTTAGTTGCAATGGCATTCTCACCACGAGATTGACTTTAGAAAATCCACTGGAGGACATATTATCATCATCCGAAACAGAGCCTTTCCCGGGCAACTCCACCTTTCTTGGACTAATGCTTTTGTTTGATGACGATTCAACTTCTGTGATCATACTAGCAAGAGAAGGAAAATAGTGTCTATATTCGATTTGAGAAACAGGCAAGGGATAATTTGTGTTTGACTTCTCTTGTAAGACTAATCCCTTGTCTGGCTTTGAAGCTTTTGGATTGGGGTTTAGCTCTTGAACTACTGAAGTTTCAGCTCCATGGAGAGGCAAATTCTTGTGTGTAATAATGTCGTCATCACCACTCACCAAAGCCACATTGCAATGGGTTCCATTCAATGGGAAAGTTTGGTCCCTAGAAAAGAACCTGTAAATAAAGGAAACTATCTTCATATGAATTCAGTCATCTAATGCTATATACTGGATTTAAGTCATCCAATTCCCAAATCGCTGTCCCTCTATCAATACACTCTCATCTATTGGATTAAGTGGGAAACTCAAGCACATGAATCTAAAGCCATAATTCAATGGTTAGAAGTGCATTGGGGTAGGGGACAAAAAAATTGAAAATAAAGAATTACGGGCCAAATTTTTTTTCTATGGTAAGAATGGAGAAAGAGGGGCTAACAATCCTGTGTCTACAAAATTCTTATTCCTCTATTCTCAATGCATTCTAAGTCACAGGATGTGTTGAGACTCTCAGGCCATGTTTGTTTGGGCGGACTGGATTAGCATTCTCATGACTAATAGTCCTAGGACTACGAATCCGTTGGATTATGTATCCAATCTTAACTAATAGTCAAGTTTAAAATAATTAGTCTCTACTTCAATTGTTTAACCAAATATCGAATTAATAATTTTATTGAACTATTAGTCCAATCCCAAGCTCATAATATCGAATTAATAATTTTATTGAACTATTAGTCCAATCCCAAGCTCATGTCCACTCAAACAAACACGGCCTCAAAATACAAAAATTTTACTGGGGTAGTCTTGCAGCTGAGAAAGCATTGGAACAGAGAAATAAGACTTTTGGAAACAAATGATCCCGTGCCAAGAGAGAGGACCTGTCCATGACAATCCAAGTGGCATCGATGTTGTTTGCCTCTTCCACTACCAAGGCCTGTGGTTCGACGCTGGTGGCTATCTTCACCTGAAACTTAACCTGTCAAAAAAAGCAACTGTCTGTGATCTAATCTATTTACATATTTTTATGAGTATATTCTGTTTATGACCCCATAACAGAGTTTAGATTAAGTTAGGGCTGCAGATCAATTGAGTTGTTCGTCAGCTCGGTTCAACTCAATTCTTTAAGTAAATGAACAAGTTTGAACTAGATTTTTAGGATTATTCATAAAACTTGACTCGTTGGCTGATTTTTCAAGCACGATAAACAAACTAGTTGAGCTCAACCCCTACAAAGTTGGGCTAATTGTGGGTAAGTTATATTAATGGGAAAAGGACTTACTCCAATGCTTTTGCATCTATCATAATAAGGTCTAAAGATCTGCCTGTAAAATTCCTTTCTCTGATTGATCTCTTCATGTACAAAATTGATATACGAATCGCTTTCCTCACATATAGATTGATCAGACCGTTCATCTCCCATACAACAACAACCACCTGCAGCATTCAACGGCGTCGATGCATCCCCCTCCGAATCCATCATAATCAGAACCAAAACTTCATCGGTCGTCCGTACAACGTCACGCAGAGCGCACCTGAGCGTCGCCACTCCACTCTTCTCCGTGGAAACCCTAGTTCCAACCAACACAACAATCACGCTCTCTCTACCCTCTCTCTCTCTAACATTCATTGACATTGTTGTGAGCTCTAGCTTTCGATGATTGATTTGATTTTTTCTCTGATTTGTGCTTGATTTTAAAGGATATTCGTTGTGTTTGTTGTTTCAACTCCATAGTATATAACGTTGCTTTGGAAAGATCGTCGTAACTCTGTTTTTTACTACTACTAAGAATCTCAAATTTATCGGTTTCGTATTCGTCAGTGACGATCAGTTCATAGAAGAATCGCAGAGAGCAGTCGAGGACAAGAAGAGCATTTAACAATTGACATTCTTTGTCGCAAAGGTAAAAACAAAAACAAATCGTAACCTAGAACGATGAATATGATGGAGCATGCTTCAGAGGACTCGCCGCTACATCCAAAACTGTCTGGTCAATTAGGAAACATTTTAGATTGATATAACATTGACCCATATTGACTTTAAATTTAAATTTGATGAAATTGGACCCAATTTATTCATTAAATTTATATAAAAAAAAAATTAAGTAAATTACACTATTAAGAGAGTGTTTGATATAACCTATATAAGTGTACTTATTTAGGTTATATTATTTTTTTACTTTTTTTACATATCTTTTTATAAAAAATAAAATACGTAAATTTATTTAAATCATTTCAAATACCTCCATAATACCTGTAGGTTGTAGTTTAGGTGAACTATCATTTAATCTGTGCAGTTTTCATTTCCATAATTTAATTTGTATATTTTTAATTTTGTGAGAATATGATTTCACTCTTACTAATCATTAGAGTTTGAAAAGGAAAAAAAAAATACTTTCAAAATTAAAAAATCAAAGTGGAGGTGAATTTTATATATAGTTTTTACACATCCACATTTCTCTTCAACAAGACAAAAAGTGATGCATAATATTGATTATTAGATAAATAATTCCATAATTCAATTTTTTATAAACAAATTAAAATGCCACATATACAAATCTTCCCATTTCTTCCCATTCTAGAAATTGTCTGGATGATGAAAAATCTTGAAAAAATTGTGTTATAAGAAATAGTTATTGTCGATTGGTACATTGTAGCTCCTTTCAAAGACATAAATAAAAGAATAGTACATATTCCATTAAAGGAAAATATCAAACTTACAGAACATTTACCAAAACAAAAAACAAAAAACTATGATAACAATAATTGTCATAATTACGTGCCAATGACATTACCAATAAACGAAAAGGCTTATTCACAAGCCGGAGGGTTTTGTTTACCCTTGAAGACTGGCTTAGCAAAGCTGCATGAAGATGAAAGAGGCAACAACTTCTTTAAACAGTTGGAGCTAAGGGTGATATCAATGTCGGCTAATTCGATGCCTTCACAAGGGACTGAACTACTGCAACTAAGAGTGATTGCAACATTTGAAATTGAGCTACCCCTTATATTCTTGTAGTGAACATCACTAATCTTCACAAGGGATACCTAAATCACATAAGTTAGTTAATAACATAGTTAGTAACATTGTCTAATGAAAATTGGCTAAAACACATACATATATTACTATCTGTATTTTCTTATTTTTCTTTGTCATGACGTATAGAGCTAAGATATATTTATTACCCCGCCAGTTGAGTGCTTCTTAGACCGGTAATGTTGATCAATAATGATGGGATTTTGAACTTCATTCATAGTTATATCTTCAAAAGTGATGTTGGAAGCTTCGATTTTAGGTGAATTGTGGAAGGTTTTGATCCTCACACCGTTCGTTGTATTTGTTAAGGAAGAGTTAGACACAAAAATTCCGCTAACACTATTTTCCTCTGGCCTTTTTCCAAGGCTACCAATGCTGGAAAAAGACGATAATTCAAGCACTTATTTAGAAAAATATAATTGGTATTTACTAGAAAAGGACTATGAATTCATGAAAGATTATTTTGTTTAGGATTTTACCTGATGCCATGTCCTGGACCACAAGTAATACCAGAGATATTTACATTGGTTGAGCCTTCACCGATAGAAATGCAGTCATCACCGGTTCCAATGACAGAGTTAGATACACGAACTTGATTAGAGCGACTAATATGGATGCCATCAGTGTTTGGGCTGTTTCCAGGTGCAGTAATATTGAGACGTTCAACTACAAAATTGTTGCAGCTAGTGATTGTCATGTGGAAACCTTTACTATTCACCAAATTGATATCTTGTACAACGCCATTCGTTACCTTTTGAAATTTAATAGACTGCACCAAAATATATGAGATGAGATGATAATAAAACCATTTTTTGTATCTCAAGTTTTCGCATTCCCCAATAGAAATGAGGATCTTTTTAGTGCATTTTTTTATAGGACTATAGAATTAACCTAAAAGGTCTTTGAACTTACAATTGGTAAAGGGCTATTGCAATTATCAGATGAACGACAATTGCTATACTGCCATGCAGACTGACCTTGCCCATCAAAAATTCCTCCACCTAAGATTGTCAAACCATCAACGTCTTGAAATAAGAGACATTCTTTACCAGTAAATTCAGACATATCAGAGTTTGCTAATATGGTTCCCTGAATTTCCACAGTCACAGGTTTTGATGAGCAAGGCCCTTGGAAAATTGTCTCCCCTATCATAAATCGCCCTGGTGGGATAATAAGCTTTGATGGCCCTGTTGATGATTTGCATGCCGCATTCCATGCTTGTATAAATGCCTGTCATGCAGTGAACATTATAATGTGAGTTATAATTTAGACGAATAAATAGAAGGCTAATAACTGCAGCAAAAATAACATATTTTGATTGTGTTCAAACTTACCATAGCACTATTAGACTCGCCATCTGGCTTAGCACCAAACTTTGTAACATCTACAGCCGCATCGGTGTCAGTAGGACGGGCACCTTCAGCGCCGCATGAAACCAAAGCCAAAGCCACGACCAAAGCCAAAGCCACAGCCGTAGCCGAGAAAGAATGGGCCATTGTGGAGATGGAAACCTGAAATGTAATTTTTTAATAAAAAATTGAAAGTTAAAAGACTTGTGAATTGAGCTGGTTTTATTCATCCCTTTTATAGGTTGGTAAAATCAACTTGTCATCTATTTATGGTTATGTCAGCTGTAAAATAAAAATTCAAACTTGATTGCTTTTATTATCTTTGATATGCTTATGTCAGTCTCTATCTATAATAGATCCAGAAAAAAGAAAATTAAAAAAGAGGATGAAATAGTATGCATATCTGACCGTGCTTGTCTATATTTGATAAATATTTTCTAGATTGAAAAGTTAAAAATAGTCTTTCTTGAAGTTCATTTGAGATATTTTTGACTCAAAGTATAAATAGAAACTTCTTCAAATACATTGACAAAGAATTATAAAATAAATATAAACAACACCATAAATGTTGAAGTCATCTTAACTTGCATTGTATTGCTCACTGAATAGATAAAACATTTTCTTTTTCTTTTTCATATTGGCTTTAGGAAAAAGCTAGAATTTACAAAATTGAGAGAACTAGTCCAAAAAATTAATAAAAAATAAGTATATGATGTAGATATACCAATTTAGTGTAATATGGATTACACTCAAAATAAATCTAGAAAGAGCTCTTCTTATGATTATTTTTTCGGACTCTGTAACAATACAGTTCTCTTTGATATGATCAAAACATATTTTTCTAAGATATGTAACAGAGAGATAGAAAGAGAAAGAGACAGGAAAACCTGTCCATAAAAATCTCTTATCACTTTGTTTGCTTCTTCCACTCATAAGGCCTGTGGATGGAAGCCTACGACTCTCTTCCCCTGTAATTTCACCTATCAAAAAAAGCAACTATCCGTGATCAAAGCTATTTATAAAATTTTACACTGTTTATTATGGCCTTGTAACAGGTCTCTTATGTATAAAGTTGATAATAGATTTTATATTTATGCTACCAAAAAACGTTAATATCTTAGCAAATTATATATTGGTACGTCTGTTCTGAAACATGATATACTTTCATTTCAAAATGATAAATTTAATGATCCAAAATGATCCCTAAAAGTTTTTCTAATATATTTCCTTAAATGTTACCTTAAGAGGAAAAAAATCAAACATAATGAATTAAAATCTAAGATGGCCTAAGTTTTGCTAAAACAAAAACGAAAAATATATGTCTCCGTTTAGGAAGTTGAGGTTTGGGATTTTTTTGGGCTAAAATAGCCACAAAAAAACAAAATAAGTTTTTTAGTCGAATAAGACAAAATATCATATCCAATCTATAATTATTACATTCTTCTCTCATAAAAAAGTCAAAAAAGCTAAAAAGTCATTCTCAAATAAGTTTTTTAGCCCCAGCCAAGCTAAAATAACCAAAAAGCCAACACACTTCCCAAACAAACACACACACACATATATATATATTATTGGATGTCCAATAATTAAAAGAAAATTACTTTAAAAGTATCTTAAATTTTTAAGTGTAATATATATATATATATATATAAATCTACCCTCATCGTATCACATTTTAGAACATATGACATACCACGTTTCTATTTCTATTCCACGTACCGAAACGATTCACGCTTCAGATAAGATAGTTTTATATTAATGGAAGTGTACTCACTACTTTTGCATCTATCATAATAAGGTCCTAAAGATCATCTGTCAGTAAATTAATTCCTTTCCCTGATTAATTGATGAAGAAAGTTGAAATACAAATCTCCTTCACCAAGTTAATATATTGATCAAACACATTAACAAACAGCTGCTGCACTAGAGCATCTCTAATAGGTATGTATTATCTATTGTTAACTTATACAGGTATTAGAATCCTTGCCTAGGAAGCACGCATGCAGGTGCGCGTTAAAGTATCTTATGTTGATATGGCAAAACTTAAAGAAATAGGATATGATATGGTACATTCATAAAAAATATATATGTTATAATTTGTACTAGTATTTGACATATAATAATTTAAAAAATTAAATGTAAAAAATAATTAAAATATTTTTGTAACTATAAAAACAAATTCCTAAGTATTTTATTTATTTTTGATAATTATAAAAATCTATATAATAAAGTAGAAGAGTTTTTGAATTT